CACACACACACACACACACACACACACAAATAAATAAATAAATAAAATTTAAAAAAAAATTAATTTCAGTAATGGTCTCCCTTGTTTCCCATTTTCCAGCTCTTGCTCTGAGCTTCCTATGTTCGGCCCTTCACTCGCCTCAGGTTCCCCAAGGATCTTAAAGAACACGGAGCCTGTCGTGCACTGATGACCCAAAGAGTTTAAATAACTCGCCTGCCTGGCATCCCAAATCTGCTGAGTGGCAGGACCTCACGCGAGACTCCTGGCCTCTAGGCGTCTGACTCTAGGGCCAGGGCCTTCTCACCCCACCCTCTAGGGCCAGGGCCTTCTCACCCGCAAACGCCACCAGCATCCCCACCTTGCATCTCCTGCAGTCCCTGATTCTCTTGCCCAATACCCAGGAGCGAGGTGAGGCACCTACCTTGGACCTGGCTGAGCTGCAGGCGGTGATGAAGCCTGTAGGGAGACAGGAAGAAAGCGGGGGCTGCATCAGGGGACAGAAGGCCAAGCCCGAGGACACAGTTCACTGCCTCAAAGGCTTCAGAGACCAGGGACTCAAGAGCCCTGAGATCTCCTGGCCCCAGAGGGTGAGTGACGGGGTGGCATTTTCTACTGGACTGGGATGGATGGGGGTGGGGCAGAACATGATGTCATTCACCATCCCTGCATCCCAAGGCAGGCAGTGACCTCAGGCTGCCACGCCAACCCTGGCCTGCCCAGGTCACAGGCCAGGGCGGCTTTTCTTTGGGCCTGGCTCCTCCCCTCCCCCATTCCTGTCCCTGTCCCCGAAGCACTGGAGAGAAAATGCCAAATGTTGATGAGTCACAGAAACCACCACAGCGACACACAGCACACCACACAGCTGGACAGGGGACTACACCGTGCATGGTGAGCGATGGCACGGGCCCACCCCACCCACCCCCAACAACACGATGGATGAGCAGCGAAGGGCGGAGATGAAAAGGGGCTCTGGGGACCATGGGCTGGGGACAGAGCCACCATGGGTCCCACCCCAGAGCCAAGGTCAAGCTGTCCTTAGGGCAAAGTCCCCATGGACCGGGGAGTGAGGAAGGATCTGTGACCAAGTCCCACTCCTCATGTTGCCGGCGCAGGGGAGAACCAGAGACAGGTCCTGGCCCTGGCCCTACCAGGCGGCAGGACCCCGGGTGCGGTTAGTCCACACTCTGCAGGCGGTTAGCCCTCCCCGGCCCACGCAGTGAGAAGAGCAAGACGGGCGACCACATGACACACGGCGGCGGCGGCGGGTGACTAGAAGAGACGGGGTGCCTGGTCACCCACCCAGGCCTTGGGCGGCTGGGGCTTGCTGGGGCCTCTAGCTGGGACAGAGCAGGACAGCTGCGGCTCGGAGGAGCCGGTGCCTCTGAGGACAGAGGTTGGGTCCTGAACTGAGGCTGGAGCTGGTTACAGAAAGGCTCTTCGTTTTGTTGCTGAGACAGCTTAGCTACGTAGCGCAAGCTGGCCTTGAACTCCCTGTGTAGCCTAGGCTGTCCTCAGGTTCAGTGACCCTCTGGCCTCAGCCTCTTGAGTACTGGATTACAGGTACAGGTCTCTGTACTTGACCAGAAAGGTTTCGAAGGTGGAGTCACTGGTCCCAAAAAAAGCTGGGTCCCAGCAGGGTTTCCCTGGTCCTGGTAAGGGGAAGTGGCCACAGAGTCTGGGGGCTGGGACAGGAGCAGACTTCCATGTGGCAACAGACTTCTCCTCAGCAGGGATGACTGGTATAGGGGACGTCCTGCCTGCCCAGCCTTCTTCTAATCACTCGCCACTGTTAGTGACCGAGGCCGCGACACCACACTGTACCCTTTAACTCTCCGACAGGTCCGCTGGAGGAGGGAGGCAGGGAGAGGGAAGGAGGAGGTGTGAGAAAAGGAACAAAGATTAACACAGCAGCGCAGGAGGTGGGGCAGGAAGGCACTGCAGCGCCCCAGAGGCACCTGGGGCCCTGGCGCAGGAGCCAGGAGGGGACATCTGGCCAGGTGTTGGGGACCTTCAGGGTCCCCCTCAGCCCTCCCAGACCCTCGCTCACCTGAACCTGGGTCACTGGCAGGCACCGTCCTGCCGATGTTGGGCAGCAGATACTCAATGTTGGGCACCGACTGCGGCTCCTTGTCATCCACGGGGGTCTGCGAAGGGGACAGAAGGGGTCAGTGTGTGAATCCGCAGATGCCAGGCTCTCAGTGACATCAGACGGTGACCACAGGGCAGGGTCTGTTTCCCTCATGCCTCATGGGCAGGGAGGTGGCAAGGGACAGTTCTGTGCCTTCCCAGTCAGAGGCCCCCTCCAGAGCGCAGAGGGGAAGACTAGGTGGCTCCAGGCCCGGGGACTCCGGAGGAGCCTGGGGAGCCCAGGGTGGGGTGGCCCCTGCTGATCCTGCCCACTGTCCCCCTGGCAAGGACCCGCTTCTCCACACCCCATTGGTCTCCCCTCCACTTACCCTCTCGCCCTTGTCTTCGTCATCGCTGAAGAACCAGTCTGACTGCAGAGGAGACAAAAGGGAGCAAGTCAGGTCTGGCGGGGCCCCCTCCTCCGGATGCCTGATTGCTCCCCAGACATGCCAGCCAGAAGCAGCTTCCGCTGCGCCCTCTGGCGGTGGCTGGCGCACCCAGGCGCGGCGTCAGCAGCCCACGGCGGGCGCCAACCTTTCTGTGCCAAGCAAAGGCAGAAAATCAACTTAAACCCTCTCCACTTCAGTTCGTCTTGTGAACCTTGAAAATCCTGAATGAAAAAATTCTAAAAGCTTCCTGGGGAAAGAAAGAGAGGTGAATTTAGCACTTTCGATAGCAACAGACCCAAGGAGAGAAGGGAGTGCTGCCTTCGCGCACAAGGGAAGCCGGCTTGAACCTCGAATTTTGTATTCTTGCATCTCGATGACGGTGCTGTAAAGCTCGCCTAACACACTGGAGAGCTCACCCAAGACCCTCCTGACCGAGCACAGACGGCGAGAAGAATCAACTCAGGGGGAAGGAGTGGGCTCAGAGAAGCAAGCGCGAGTGCAAAGACTGCGGACCCAGGAGGCTGAGGCAGGAGGATCGCCGGAAGTGTGAAACCAGCCTGGGCTACAAAGTGAGCTCAAGGCCAGCCTGAGCCGCACTGCGAGACCCTGTCTCCAAAAGGCCAAAAACAAAAAAGAAAACGAAAGACAAAAAAGGAAATAAAATCCAAATGCAGTGAAGTGCACATCTGTAATCCCAACTACTCAGAAGGCTGAGGCAGGAGGATAGCAAGTCTGAGGCCAGCCGGGACAACTTTTTTTTTGTACCAGGAATTGAATTCAGGGCTTCCCTCCTTGCCAGGCAAGCACTGTGCTGCTGAGCTACATCGAGGCCATGGGCAACTTTTTGAGACCCTGTCTCAAAATAAAATTTAAAAAGGGTAGAGGATGTAATTCAGGGGTAAAACACTTATCTAATGCATGCAAGCACTTGGGTTCAATCCCCAGTGACCACAGAGGGTAGTTATACTGTGGTAAAAGAACGGGTCAAGAGGTATAATAAACCCTACTATGTGTGCGCCTAACCCATCTTCACACACATTACAAGGCAATCCATAGAACAACTGGAAGTCTGCCAAAATAAGCAGGTACAAAAAAAAAAAAAAAAATGGAGCTGGGAGATGGCTCAGTAGGATAAGCGCTTGACTGGCAAATGCAAGGATCCGAGTTCAATCCCCGGTTCTACCAAAAAAAACCCAAAATAAGCAGGTACAGGTGTTCTAAGCCACGCAACAGAAATCCTCGTCTAGGGTATAGCTAGAACCTTGTACTCTGACATTACAGATAATTAGTTAATTCTTTAATTATTTCAGGTACTCAGAATTAAGTCCACAGCCTCTGTACTGAGCTACATCCCCCGCCTGTGTGTTTTTATTTTGAGACTGGGTCTTGCTACGGAACTTGCCATCTTCCTGCCTCAGCCTCCCAAGGCACCGGAGGCGTACAGCACCACACACAGCAGGGCTGGGGAGATAGCTCAGCAGCGCCAAGAGCCTGCCTGGCAAGTGCAAGGTCATGAGTTCGATTCCTGGTAACACACGCACACACTCACACACACACACGCACGCAGGAGTCATTCAGAAACCAGCCACATCCTGGACCACATGGAACTCCTAGGGAAGCAGTACCACATGGACTGTTCTCTGCTCAGAATAGAATAAAATTAGGAATAATGATTTAAGAAGAGCTAAATACCCACAAATCTTCATATGTCTGAAAATTTATCAGTGACACTGTGAAGTGGATTCCCGAAATCACCATAAAATAGCTGGAGGTAAATTACAGTAAAAACACTACACATAAAAATCTAAGAGGAGCTGGGCATGGGGGTGCATGCCTGTAACCCTGGCACTTGGGAGGCTGAAGCAGGAGGAACACCACCACTAATGGCTGCACAGTGAGGTCAGAGACAGTCTGACCCACCTAGTGAGGCTTCATCTCAAAATAAATAAAATAAAAATCTAAGCTGGGTGTGGTACCGCATGCCTGTAATCCCAGCTCTGGGGAGGCTGAGACAGGAGGATCACTACAAATCCAAGCTGCATAGAGAACTTGTACCAAATAAATAAAAGATTTTAAAACATAAAAATAAAAACAACAAAAAAACCTGTGACAGAACAGGAAGACAAACCATAGGGTAGGGGGACAGGGGAGAAAATGGCAAAAGAGAATATCTTTTTTTTTGGGGGGGGAATACTAGGGATTGAACTCAGGACCTTACGCTTGCCAGGCTGGCGCTTACGCCGCTGAGCTATATCCCCAGCCCCGACAGAAGAAAACATCTGGCAAAGGACTGCAGCCCCTGGTGTATGGAGAGCTCCCAAAGGTCAGCCATGAAGCCGGACAAGGGAGCACAGACCTCCAACCCGCTACTCAGGAGGCTGAAGCAAGGGGACCACACGTTCAGGGCGATTAGGGAAGGAGACGGCGAGGGAGGCAGGGAGGGAGGAGAGCCCGGGGTCAGCTCAGGGGCAGAGCGCTTGTGTAACATGCGTGTGTTCCTGTGCGTGTGCGTGTGACCCTGGGCTCCATCCCCGGTAATACAGAATCACAACTCAACAGTAAGAAAATGGGGGCTGGTGAGATAGCTCAGCAGACTAAGCGCCTGCTTAGGCAAGCGCAGGGACCCGGGTTCAATCCCTGGTACCGCAGGCCTCACCGGCCCCACTGAGACCTGCGATGGTGGCGCACGCCTGTAATCCCAGCACCAGGGAGGCTGAAAACAGGAGGGTCACTACGTCTGAGCTGCACAGCAAGACCCTGTACCAAATACATTAAAAAACAAACAAAAAAAACCCCACCTGATAAAAAATGGCCAAAGACCGCCCTGTGCCTGTGGGAATCACTAAGCCAGGGCCCACGAGCAGAAGCTCACAGCTGCTGGGACAACCGAGACGACCACGACACTCTCGGGCACAAGTTGGGCACCAGGCCCAGCCCACCCTCTCCTGCCCAGCTCCTGGGCTCTGCCCTCCGTGCCCAGCTCTACGTGCAGCCACTGAGGCTGGAGCAGGGCCGCACCCTCCTCCCGTCAGGCACAGAAAGCTGCTGGGCGCAGTGCCCTCTGCAGAGCCAAACCTCGGTCAGCAGGACAAGGGACACAGGAGCTAGCTCCAAGTGGGCACAGCGGTGCACACTGTGATCCTAGCTGGGGAAACTGAGGCGGGAGGATCGAGGAGTCTAGAGAGCCTGGGCCACTCAGGGAGATTTGGCCTCAAACTAAAATGAAAAGGGCTGGGGGCTGGTGAGATGGCTCAGTGGTCTAAAGCACCAACTTAGAACAAGCTAAGCTAAGCAAAGCACAGGGACCGCGGTTCAATCCCCCAGCACCACATGCCAGCCAGCACTGCCCCCTTGTGGGCAGAGCTGGCCACACATACACAATAAATAAACAAAAGTTAAAAAAAAAAAGAGGGCTGGTGAGATGGCTCAGTGGTCTAAAGCATCTACTTAGAACAAGCTAAGCAAAAGCACAGGGACCACGGTTCAATCCCCAGCACCACATGCCAGCCAGCCCCGCCCCCTGGTGGGCTGAACTGGCCACACACACACAAAAAAAATAAAATAAATAAATAATGAATAAAAAAAAAAAAAGAAAAAAAGAAAAGGGCTGGGGATCAGCACACGGTGGAGCACCTGGTGAGCAAGCAGAGGCCCCGATTCCATGCCCAGGACTGAAAAATGGAAAAAGGAGAAGAGTAACAGGCAGCGGAGAGAACATCCACCCGTGCTGCCAAGGAAATAGACTGATTTTCAAAGGGGACACATTCGTGACGCACCTACATGCTGTCCTGGAGAAGACAATACAGGCACATGGCAGGACCAGGGGTGACGAGGGTGACCCTGATTTTTCTTCTTCTTCTTCTTCCTTTTTTTATCCAGAACCGGAGATTGAACTCAGGCCCTCGTGCTTGCCAGGCAAGTGCTCATTCTACTGAGCCATCTCCCCTGTCCTCTTCTTCTTTTTTTTAAAGGTATTTTTTACAGGGTCTCACTATGTAGCTCCGACTCAAAGTGATCCTCCTGTTTTCAGCCTCCCCCAACACTGGGATTACAGGCATGCACCACCATGCCCAGTCTAGGTGGCCAGCTCAGCGTGCCCAGGGTGGGGCTGGCGCAGCATGTGGTGCTAGGGATCGAGCCTGGGTTCCTGCACTTGCCCAAGCAGGTGCTTAGTCCACTGAGCTATCTCGCCAGCCCATCATGACACGTGAGAACGGTCCACTCACCCATTCATCCATTTATTTATCCACCTATTCATGGGGCCAGGGAGACAGCTCAGTGGAATAAGTGCTTGCCTGGCAAGCACAAGGTCCTGAGTTCAGTCCCTGGTACCACATGCGCGCGCGCACACACACACACACACACACACACTGGCCTTGAGCTCACTATGTAATCAAGGCTGGCCTCGAACTCCTGGGGCTACCATGGCCAAAAAGCTGGCTAAACTGTAAAGCATACTAAAAAATAAGCCTGGGGTGGTGGCACATGCCTGTAATTCCAGCACTTGGGAGGCCAAGGCAGGAGGATCAGTTTCAAATTCAAGACTAGCCTGAGCTACTAGGTGTGCTCAAGGCCAGCCTGAGCTGCACAGTAAGACTCTGACTCAGAAAGATAGACCAAAGAATGAATGAATGAATGAATAAATTATTAATAAAATAATAATTACATCATGTTTGAGCCAAGTTTATTTCAGGAAAGCAATAACAGTTCAAACTGAAAAATTCACCCATACACAAAATGAAGGAAAAAAATTCTATGATTTCAATAGATTCCAAAAAGCATTTAATAATATTCAGTTTATAGGGGCTGGGGAGATAGCTCAGTAGAAGAAGCACTTGCCTGGCAAGCGCAAGGGCCTGAGTTCAATCCCTGTTTCTGCAAAAAAAAAAAAAAAATCAGTTTGTGAATATGACTTTGAACAATTTTAAAAACTGAGAGTAAATTATTCCTTAATTTCATAGACAGTAGGGGCTGGCGAGATG